ACACACACACACACACACACACACACACACACACACACACATACACACACACACACAAACACACACACACACTAGAATAAGAATATCTTTTTTTAAATCAAGTATCTCGGTCTTTCTTCTGGGGTGTTGTTACAGTGTATCCCTTTCTGCCCGGGTTGGCCTTGGCAGGTAGCACCGCTGCCAGCCCCTTATAAAAGTTAATTATCTAAATTGTGTCGCTGGGGGCATAAAAACATTTTCATTTAGATTTTTTAAAAGAAAAACAACACCTGTGAAAACTTCTGTCCACTGCAGCATCATATCGGTTCTTGCACTTAAATACAACACAGGTGGAAGGCATTTTTTAAATTGACTTGCCTACTCTCGGAATAAAACCTTCTTTCTTATCTAGATTTCATTCCGCGAGCGCAGCGCAGGTAGACCATAGTTCCGCTGTGAGAGAGGGCTCCTATCAGGCGTGCGGTGCCGCCCACAGAGCATCCTCCATTACTGTAAACTCCTTGCTGTAAACCCTCTCTGGACGAACGAATATGAGATCTACCCATAGGGTTATCTCCCTTTTAAACTTAGCAGTCTAGTGTAAATCTATGGATCTACCCCACCGACCGCACGAACCGGCAAGTTTCGTTTTCTGAATCGAAGTGTAGATGCCATCGTGTCATCAATTCTCGAAAGTCGTTTCCTTCATAAAACAGGTAGTGTCTTTTTTGGTTCATAGGTATTGGTTGTAAAGAAGTCAACAATGTCCTAAATGAAAATTAATAAGTAGAAAAAGGTACAAAAAATATTTAAGACTTTAAAACTTCTCTTTTTGAAATGTACATGGTTGTTATTTAGCACTAAACTGCATTAAGATGGTGTACCTGGCAAAACGGATTAACCTTCACGTATGCCAATTTGCAAATTGTAGAGAGTCCAGTAAATTGAGAATGTGTATGGAGCACTGTGCTGGTAATAGCCGAGGAATCTCTTTGTATTTTCGTATACTTCTTTTTCAGATAGAGTGTGGTATTATAAATGGATACAGGGAACAGGTCTCAGTCGTTTTATCTTTCCGTATAGCGAACATTCACAAACGTTCGCAACTAACATACGTTTCAATCGCTTTGAAAACACTCTATTTCTTTTATTCACCAGTCCCTTGGTTGAAATTCCTGGCAAACTTCTTCACCTTGGGAGGACCGGAGACTTCATCACTTTCCCGACGCCTGGCTGGAATAATAGTTTCCTCCAAGTTGAAATTGTTGCTGCCAGAAGAGACACGCTATGTGGAGAGCGCACACGTCGAGACAGGTAAAAGCTGTTGCCCTAAACACGGCAAACAAGAAATACATGAGTCCTTACACATGATGGATTTGTCGCCGGTCGTTGCAATGTACTGGATCACCCTGCCGTTATTATTATAAATTCTGAACTTGCTTCTGCTAACTTACACACTGACACTCCCCAAGTCCAAGGCAGGACCCACAATAATACTACAGTTGGTTGGCTTAGGTTTAGTTAGCGAATGTTAGATCTAGATCTAGATCTAAGTCTATATCTATATCTAGATCTATATTTACTCTGGAATTGGTGGTTCCATTTGTAGTGACTCGAGTCTGAATAGATGCTGAATAGGAATAGGTGGCAATTCTCACCCGGGGTGAGAATAGAAATACGATCGACATCTCACCCCGGGTGAGACTTGCCACCGTAGGCTATTCTCACCCGGTGTGAAACAAAACCTGTTTTTCCTAATTTCGGAATACTTTCTATCGATGTGGATGATCAAATGGATAAAGGCAAAGAAAAGATTACGATAGCTCAAAAGTAAGCTAATTTTATCGACTACAGAGATGCTATGGCTATTTCACTTTTCGAATCGAGCCGAACTAAGGGGGTCGCCATTTTGTTTTGCCCGGAAGTTCTCGCAAGATCTACTCCTCCCCTCTTCTCTCTCTCTATCTCTTTCTGAATACTGTCTATCGGTGTGGACGATCAAATTGACCAAAACAAAGTTAAAAAATGATGTTAAAACACAAAAGTAAATTAATTTGGTCGTCTACAAAGATGCTACGGCTATTTAACTTTTAGAATCGAGCCGAACTACGCGGGTCGCCATTTTGTTTTGCCCGGAAGTTCTCGCGCTACTCCTCTCTCTCTCTCTCTCTTTCTCTCTCTCTCTCTCTCTCTCTCTCTCTCTCTCTCTCTCTCTCTCTCTCTTCACTGCCCACAGACAAAATTGTACGCTTTTAGTAGGCTAACAGTAGTAGTAATGGAACGTTTGTTCACGGTACAGAATTCTACAATTTTTCTGTTATCACAGTGCAGAATTCTGTGGTTTAGGGTGAACGCAAAATTGGTTGGCCTAGATCTAGATCTAGGCTATAACGGTGAATGCGCACCAGGTGAGAATAGCCAAAACACTCGCCTGCTCTATTCTTCCCCGGGGTGAGCATAGAGGTGGCCTTAAAAAAGGCCACCTCTATAGTATATATAGCCTAATAATAGCGCAGGCGAGCCTTTTGGCTATTCTCACCCAGTGTGCCTTCACCGTGACTGATATGCCAACCAATGTAGCGTTCACGGTGAACAAACGGGCTGGATTGTACTTTACCGGACCACCAATCTCGGCCCGTGATTACTACGCGCATCCCTAGCCTAACTACGCACTATAGTTCTCTACGTGCGGACAAAAGGTAGTTCCGCGGGTGACTTCGCGCTCGCACAGTGCAAGCCTGCGACGACTGGCGAGGCGAGGTGAGCGAGAGGTGGTGGTTGAGGGTGGGCAGGGGATTTAACTTTGTTGGACAACCATGTATCATACTGGTAAGTGTGGGGAGGGGGACTCAGGGGGGCTTGCAAGCCCCTGGAAACTATATAAAAGAAAACACAAATACGAAACAAAAACATGAGCGGACAGTCATGTTTACAAAGATCAATGTAACAACAGTGGGGGGTTTCAGGATAGCCCCTGGCAACACACACAAGAAATCAATAACATGAGCGGACAATCGGGGTAAATCTAATTAAAGTTGAACAGGCCGAGCCTTGCTTCGCAGCACTCGCCAAGTCGGGAGCAGGGCCGAGGGGGTTGCAATTATGCAAATGAACCCTCGTACGCATCTCTCGCCCTCCATTGTACTTTGCCGGACCAGTCGCGAGCAAATAAGAATAGTGGACCACGTGATTAGATTGACCAATTACCCGCAAGGTGTCAGGGTGGTTGGTCAAAGGGCACGGTAGCATGGTCGTGATGACTGAAAAACCCGGTAAGAGACGTCAGTCGATTGTGGGCTGTTGAAGGGAGAGGAAGTAGAAAACTGAGTAGGAGAGTGAGTAGGGGAGCTTGGAAAGGAAGAACAGCGAGCCACTAGGCACCAGAGGCGCAATAGCGAAAGTAGTTCCGTCTGGTGGTCCGGTAAAGTACAATCTTACCAACAAACGTTCCAGCGCTTTTGTGTTGAAAGCGTGCAATTTTGTTTATGGGCAGTGAGAGAGAAAGGGAGAGAGGGGGGGAGGGGAGAGAAAGAGAGAGAGAAAGGGAGGAGTAGCGCGAGAACTTCCGGGCAAAACCAAATAGCGACCCGTGTAGTTCGGCTCGATTCGAAAAGTGATTTAGCCGTAGCATCTTTGTAGTCAACCCAATTAATTTACTTGTTTTAACATCATTTTTTATCCTTGTTTTTGTCAGGTTGATTGTCCTCACCGATAGACAGTATATATATTCAGAAAGAGAGAGAGAGAGAAGGGTAGATTTAGATCTTGCGAGAACTTACGGGCAAAACAAAATGGCGACCCGCGTAGTTCGGCTCGATTCGAAAAGTGAAAAAGAAAATAGTGAGCTCATGACTCTTTCTGCAGCCTTTCTACTGTTACTCCTTGGCTCCTTCTCACTGTTGTCTTTCACTTTCAGGTAGACCCCTGATCTCCTGATAGGAAAGATCTACACCTTGCCTTCTCGGACAAGTGCGAAAAATCTCGGAGGTCCGGTGTGCAAGTTGCGCATGTTAAAAAGATTCCTTGGTGGTCTAAAATCTATAAGAGTAGGCTTCGGCCGCCACCCGGGCAAAATTAAAAATTTCCTATCTACTGAAAATATTTAACGTGTCCGGCGCGCAGTTGCGAGCGCCGTAAAACACTTACAAAAAAAACACGCACGCACGCACACACACACACGCACACACGGGCCACTTCATTCGCAAATTATAAAACCAAAAAATCTCGAGTATGGAAACCGTTAAGAGAAATAGAGTTCAAGTTTATTTACCTGAGCGTTCGGAGAAATAAAGCCTTTAATTTATAAGGAATAACTATAGTCCTTACCATGACAAGAAACATGTCCTCATCACGAAACCTGTTGTGGAAAACAAATTCATGGAGATAAAAGGGAACGATCACGATCACGTGGTATGTCGAACTTTTTTCAGGACAATTTTTGTTTAGCTCATCCACATGTTTTCAATGTGTTCGGTGTGAATGTTTGGATCGCCCGGGACCACAAAGTGATGCTGATGAACAATAACTGATAATTTACTCGCTCCAATATTCGAAGTGTCTATTCAATTAACGTGTTAAATTGTTGCACATCAGGTAATAATAATGTGCTACAAACGCAAGTAATAACGTGTTGTTGTTCTACATTGAGTCTAATAATTTATGCACATAAAAATGCACTTTTACCAAGCAGTATAAATAAAGTGGAATGAGCATAGTGCAGAGGCAGGTGTTTACCTGTTGCATTTTTTAGAATTTCGAGTACTGTTGCTCTTCCATCAGTTTTATATTCAGGAGGGAAGAAATTCTGTGGCCGTAACGTGCGACCACTATGAAATAGTAATAGAGTAGAGGGTTATGGTTACTGTTAAGGTTAGGGTAAGGGCCATAGGTTTTTATGGTGTTTGTTGGGGTGGTCACTTTTTGCGGAAGCACTCCCTTCAGGAGGAACCAGTTTTGTGTGTTTGAAAAGAATCGGTTCCATATACATCTACTTTATTTTCCAGGGTCGACAAGTCCTGAATGCTTGCAGAAGGCATTTAGCTGCAGAGGCTGGCCAAGGAAGTGTTCCCCCTCCGATTCCTCCACCTCCTCCTAAGTCGTAAGTAGTTATTTTGCTTTGTCTTAGTCTTCTTTTGCTATATTATGTGCTATAAATTTAGTTGGGTTTTTTTTCTGGACAATAATAGCAGGGACTGTACATGATACTTTCTCTCTTGACTTGTGGTGCATATATAAAAGTTTTTCAACGCAGTATTTGATAAGAATGAAAGTGACTGACTTCACTTGAGGAACATGCTTATTTTCTACTGTGAAGGTGTTAAAGCCATTCCCTCTTGTTCTGTGGTGTGAAGAATATAAGCACAAAAATAATGTGCTGGGGAATCTGGATTTTTGAGTTGTTGTTTGTTGAAAGATGTGCCTTGATAGCCACATTCTTTCTGGAAAAAGGTAACGCTGAAAAGCAGTAGTAGTAGGAGCAGATTTCGTCAGAGGGGTCACCAACCATCCTGCAACCAGCTTTGTAAAGAAATCTGTTCAGTTTTTAAAAACATTTTGAGTTTCAATGGTTTTTCCCTTTTTCAATATTATATTATGATTATAATCATGTCTGTTATCAGGACACAATGAATCAAGGATGCATCATATTGTTTAAATTTTGCAGTTTTAATTTTTATTAAGAGCAAGTTTTATTCATTATTTTTAGAAAACACTGAACATTTCCTTACAGTACTTTATTTTGTGTCTGTTTTATTTTTTCCATTACAGTGGTGGTTTCGGTTTCTTGAAATTCTTGGGCGTTTCAGTTCCTCTAGCCGGAGGAGGTACAGTGGGATATGCTTGGTATGACCCAGAATTTCGTAAACAACTTGAGACAAATGTGCCATATGCCAAAGAGCTCCTGGAGAATGTATTACCAGCGTCTGAAGCTGAAGCAGCACCAGTGAGGTATTCTTTTAGCTTTTTTTTTGTTTTTCTCTTTTTATAGCAGATGAGCTTGGCACCATCGTCTGTCTGTTATTTTAAAGCTTATCTTGTTTGTGAAAGTAAACACATGTTGTTGTTTTGTTGTTGTTTTTTGTTGTTGTAAATATACTTTTTATTCATTTTGTAAGTCAGTACATGAATGGATGAGTGTTTTAGACAAATTATGTTTGGGTTTTTAAATTTATATCTGATGCTGTAGTTTTATTACTTTTTGTAGATTCAGATGCGAATAGACACATTAACAATTAAAAAAAAACTCGGAAAAAACCTGTCAAAAGCAAGATATACTTCTTGAATAGAAACAATTTTATTAAGACATCTTTTTTCCTGTTATGCTTTGAAGACTACTGTTAGCACTCTGATTCATTTATGTTTATCAGGTGCATGAACTCTAATTGGGGGCTCTAGTTGTCTAGAGATTAGGTGTTCGCCTCACAATCAATAGGTCCCGAGTTCAAAACCTGACAGCGAAGGGAAATTTTCCCCTTTCAACTTTCCTGCTCTGTAATCATGTTCTGTCATCTGCTTTCATTTCCACTTCCCCCGCCCCCTCCTCTGTGCTCCTGACTCTTTCTTCTACCTTTTTACTGCTACTCCTTGACTTCTTCTTACTGTTGTCTGTCAGCCACACCCCAGATCTGAAGGTAGGTAAGATCTAACTCCAAGCCTTCTCGGATAAGGGTGAAAAAAAAACCTGGGAGGTCCCGTGTGCAAGTTATGCACATCTATGATTTCTTGATGGTCCTAAAATCGAAAAGGGTCTAGGCTTCGGCTGCCACCCAGGTAAAATTCAAAATTAATTCCTACCAAACTTAAAATGTTTAATGTGTTCCGCCCGCTCATATGACCTTATATGTAGTTGCGAGAGACGTAATACACTCACCAAAAAAAAGTACTGTACTTGACTTTGCTTTTTTTATTGCAGGCCAGAGAAGCCCGTTCTGGCTCCAGCTCTTGGGAATGCTTCTGTGCTTAGTGTAAGTTTTGACTTTATGGTACCTGCTCAGAATTACTTTTTGTTGCTCTTCCTGGGAGGAATTTTGTATGTGTGCCGCAAGCTGCTGTTTAATGGTTTATACTCGAACTATCTAAATCTGAAAATGTAGGGCTGTTTGTGGAGATTTGTATAGGTTGTGTTTGTGGAGTAGAAGCCTGAGCTTTTGAAGACTTTTAACTGTATTGTCCCAACTTAAAACAATAAGGAACTGAAGTGAGACGGAAATGACTCTGCTACTATTATTAAAAAATTTTCTGTTGTGCTGTGACACATTTCCTATAACTTTGGGAAAGTAACACAATGCATGCTGTTGAATCTCTTCAGGCAAGTATGTCAGTTTGGAACACTTGTTTAGGTAATGGTTTACATATGTATGTATTTTGTTATTATTGAGGTGCATTTGGAATGAGTTTGCCAGCTTTTTCTTTATTCATAACATAGTTTAGGGTTTACTGAAAGGATTAAACATATCACTTTAAGACTCATTGTGCATCAGTTGTTGGTGGGCAATCTAGTATAGCCATATTCATTGTTTTCTTTTCAGTATAAACAGTTAGTCTGTTCCAGATGAAATGTTATTGTTGTTGACCTGAGTACAACTTGACTTGAGCCCGTTCTTCCTTTTAAGTTGAAGCATTTCCTTTTATTCTTTTCTTTGTCACTGTAAAGGTTCAAGATGATGTGGCGAAACAGTCTTCCCAAGTGTCAGCACCAAGTGAGTACTGGTATTATATGTGAAATTAAAGTTTAAGGGAGAATGAATACATTATTTTAATACATTGATTTATACGTCTTTTTTTGGTTTTGTCGGGATAGTAATGTTATTTCGTGGGTGGTTGGCGGGTGCTCTGGTATGGTTTGCTCCTTCTTTCCTATCAAACATCTGTCGTCCTTATCTCCCCTCCTTTTTTGTGTATGTTACTCTCTTGTAACACATAATCTTTTCTTCGGCACTTATATGACCCTATTGTGTTGCAAGTGCCATAAAACTCTTACTAAAACTTAAGTGTTATTTCAACTACAGCCATATGAGCAGTGCTATTTGTGTATTGTCAGTTTTCAGTGCTCTTGCTTGCAATGTGTCGTGTGGGTGGTTGGTGGGTACTTTGTTGTCATCTACTTCTTCTTTTTTCAGTGTTTGTATAGTCACAGTCTGTTCTCGATGAAGATGAAGTGAGGCTGTTGTCGTTGTGACTCATTGTACACTCCAATCCAACACAATGCTTTCAAGGAGTATTGTTACATTTATGCATTCCTTCAAGCTTGTTGGTTGTTTCCTCGCATTTTTATGACAAGTGAGAGTGCTTTCTATAGAATGGTCTATGACATATTTGATGATAAAAGGTGTATCGAACCATATAAGAATATTGTGGTATGGTTGTAAAGTAATTTTTGATGTACTTCGATTGCCGTTATAACTGCGTTTTTGTTCCCATAGTTTCTCATATTGCAACCTCAGTGCTTTCTTGTCGTATCTCCATTATTTTAAACAGTGAAAACAGTTAATAGCTAAGAGTGAGCTAAAGAAGAAGTCACATTTTCAATGTTAAAAAAGTGGAGATACGAGAAGAAAGCACTGAGGTCGCGATATGTTGGTGTAATGATGCTGATTTGTTTATATTATGTTTTGTCATGTCCTTTGAACTTTTGGGCACGGGAAAGAGAATATGTCATTATTGGTTCCTTCTTTCCTTGAAATATTTTTCATCCTTAACCCTCCTCCTTTAAAAAAAATATGTTACTCCCTATTAATGCTTCTAATCTTCAACACCTATATGATCTATTCATGTTGTAAGTGCCATAAACAGTGACTAAAACTAAACTAAAGGAAGGGATGACTGACAAATGCTTTAGTGTGGTGTGAGCTTGTTTCTTCTTTTAAGGGTCCCTGTTTTCCTAAACGTCTCTGCTAACATGTAGCTGTTGTCAAAGCAACTCAGTTTAAACTACAACTGAACTCAACACCTGCCTTTAGTGCAGGCTTAGAAATAAGAACATTAAACTCTTATATCTAAAACCCTATACTAAAACTAATTAAAAAAACTCTTAAATTTTGATGCTGACATTCTAGGTCTGTGTGTTAAATTTAATTGAAATTTGTCACTTAAGTCAAAAGCAAAAGCGATTTCTTTGCTACTCCCCCTGAACCTCCGAAAAACTCTGAAATAATTTGGTTTTGGGAAGTCATCAGCTGGCCGCCATTTTAGTTCTGCTGTGCTGACCTATTTATGGTGCTAAGAGGGTTAATATACAAGTATGGGAGCACGACATTCATATCTAGGTGGAGTCTGAACCGTTTCTTGGAATATTTCCTCCTAACCCACAGTCTTGACGAGGGACCAAGTGATGCTTTCAAAAAGATTCTCGTTGTGTTTTGTATAACATTAAAATTAAGTCACATGCGCATCAGCAACAACAATAATGACTATTTGCTCTTATGTTTGTTGCTTATTTACCCAGCAGCCTTCCCTCTAAGTTGGGTTAAAATGGCTAGATGTGCTTCTGAGGATCAGATTGGTTTTGCAAAGAGACGCCGCTATAAGCGCAAAAAGAAACCAGACAGTTACCTTAGTTATTGCCAGGCCACCACGGATTGTGAAAAACCTAATGAGCAAGATGATATTAACCTGAAAGAAGATAATGAAGAGGACGATGAAGACAGTGAAGATGGAATCAATGGTAGGTAAAAATCTACTGTCTTCAGGCTGATTTGAGGCATCTTCTCATCTGTTTTTGAAAAGTTTGTCATTTCTTCTCACATGTTGCTGTTTATTTAAGAAGGACTTCAAGAGGTATTTCCTTACTCATTACCACAGTTGTATTTAAGCTGAGTATGGAGGAAGCAGAAACCAGAAGTATAGCGTGGTGGTGGCTTGCTGAAATCATTCTCTATATTGGCGTTGATCTTGACTTTGGGGAAAAGCAGCATATAATGTTCAGTTATGCTTCTCTCTTCCTGTTTTAGCCTTTTTTTATGTTCAAAATGTGGAAGAATATATTTTTCTTGAGGCATCTGCAAGCTTTCTTGTTTTGTATTTTTGTGTATTAGCTTTTTTATTTTTAATTCTTCCAGTACATGGTATGATGTTCTGTAATGCTATTTGAAGTTGAGTTTGAATTTGGTCCTTGTTATTGAAGATGTGATTATGTTAATCTCGTCATTGTGTTGAATATTATTCTGAATATGTTGCCACTACTCATGAATATTATTATAACCAAGATTACTATAGGAAAATGAGACTTCAGTACCCTAATTTGTAGCTTATTTTCTGTTCTTTCTTTTTTTTTTTCAAAATATCAAAAGATGCCTCATGTATGGAAATTCGTTGATGGTTCCAGAAAGAGAAAGTGTTTTGAAATCTCCTAGAGCTGTGAATGTAATTGCAAAAAGAGTACAGAGTTTGTGAAAAAGTCTGAATTTTTCAGTCAGTCTGATGCCTGTGTCACGAGTGGACGCTTTTTCATAGGAGTGTGGGATACTGCTGAGATTACCATTTGTTTTGGAAAGAAGAGTAATGACACTTTCTGTTCATGAGTGCACATTCACATGTATATGTATACATTTTCAAAACACTTGGTTGCAAAAATATGTAGGTAAATTCTCAACAGAATTCCTTCATATACTGTTTTAAAAAAATAATTGAAAAATTTATTTTGAGTTTTTTTTTATAACAACTGAAAAAAAGCGTTACCCTCTTACCCTCTAATGGCTGAAAGATAAATTGAAGCTGTTTTAGTTTATAAATTTGTACCACATCCAACCAAAGCCTTACCCCTTGACGGCTGAAGGATAAAATTGAAGCTGTTTTAATTTATAAATTTGTACCACATCCAAGCAAAGGAGGCTCAATGAGCATTTGAAGAATCCCTTTGCTGATGTAGTTGTTCAAGTTTCCTGTCACTGTCTTTGATGGGACATACAAATATAGGGTGGACCCGTGTTGATAACCAACTTCCCATTGGTATTGAATGTAGGGAGCCAAAAAAAAGGTAAAAGGAGCGTTTCCAAGGGTACAGTGCCTGGTCTGAAGATCAGCATGCTCGCACATAAATTTTGTGATTGCAACCCTGATATCTTCTTTACTTGACTATGATGTCTCTTGGGGTTTAAAAACACCCCAGCAGTTATCTGATGTGACTGCATCATCATAGTTAAAATGTATGACCTGTTGAGCTTACAGAAGCAGAATGTGTAAAACAAGAATACAATGTATTTGGTTAGTTTTCATCAGCACTTGCATTTTATTCCTATAGCCACAGAAGTGAGGGTGAATTGTTCATGCCAGCATTATGTTTTGGTCTTTATTGTTATATTGATTCATAATTGGTCGCTTTTAAGCTCAAGGGGGCTATCCCCGAAAATGGTGTTTTGAGAAATTCGAAGGTAAAGTTTTTGCCCCTTGTTCAGTTTCTTTAAAAGACAAGGAGAATTTTCTCTATATCCAAACAAATATACACACCAATGAAACCAAACTTCTCCTATAGGTAGGGCAAAGTCCACTTTTGGTGTAGGTCAAGATTTCTTAAACCCCGAAACCTGGGTTAGCCCACTTGTCCTTAAAAGCAACCAATTATAGTCGTTTGTTTTGACTATGTGAAACATTTTTTTTATTGTTCGTAGTGGATTGGTGTGCGTTCATTGTTGTTCACTTTTTCGGGGATGTATGATTAGTTTGAATATGTGCAGCATTCTTTTTAGAGTCCTTGTTTCTGAAATTTTATGTTGTGCTTGAATTGCTTAACAAAAAAAGTGCTCTTGGTAAATGTCCAGTTGAAGTGAAATGTTTGAGGTTTATGATGGTGCAAATTGCCCTTGAATTTACAATCTAAATTTTGAATCTCTACCTTAGACTTATTATTTTTAAAAATTGTAAGCAAAACAACCTGATAAGGGGAAGTTTATGTTTTTCCTTTGTGAGCCTGCAAGCAGTAAATGCTGTTTGCTTTTTCCATAACTTTACAGGAAAAACTCATCTTCTAAGTGAGCAGAGGTTAGACATGGCTGAGGTGCTAGTCTTTCATGAAGGTATAAAATTCAAACTTCTGTTCCAATCTTTCTTTGTGTTAATTTGTTTTCCAACAGCTGTATTTTACCCCAAAATGCAATCCACAATGAGTAGAAATAAATTGTTGCAGTAGCGAATTTGTTTTCCAAGAGCTGTATTTTTACCTAAAAATAGCAGTCCACAATGAATCAAAACAAATTGGCACAGCAGTGAATTTAAAAAATGCAATGAAAAATAAAATAGTAACTGCAAAACCCCCAAAAAGAGTAAATTCACCAGTGCTTCTTTGTTTTACCTGTATTGCGTTTGTCTCATATCTTTCTCAAGCAATTGTTATTATGATTAACTATGCTGACCATATCTGATAGACTGTTTACAATTTGTGAAGCATGCTGACGAAATGTGTTACTTCTCACTTCCCGAGGAGGTGCTACCAACTGAAGTGTCTTTTTAGGCCATTCCCAAAGGGGGGACATTAACATCTCCAGTTCTTTTGCACAGTAGAATTGTAATTGTAAATGGGCTGATTCATCAATTTCATGCTCATAACTGCCTGAACTGCGACAGGGAACTGCTGCTTTTTCTTTCTTAATCCTTACTATCGTCATTTTCCTTCTACTTTTTTTTGTATGATTGTCACACTCTTGTGACCCGCTATTTCCGGGGTGCCTTGATAGTCGAAGCAGACTTTGTGCTGTTGAAGCTAGAGAGGTGAGCAGAGTAAGTCTGATTCCCTGTAAGGACTTCTCTGTTGACATCCACCCCTTGGTGCTCATAGGACCTTATGCAGTTGTGAGCGCCGAAAAACCTCTACTAAAAGAAAAATCATCAAATGGAGATGTTATCTAAGAATCGACGCAGGGGTTAAATTTGTAGATTTTCAAGTGGTACCCATTTCTTCAAGGTTAATACGTCTGATATATTTTCATACTTATGAATTATATTTTTCATACTTATAAATTGTCCTAAATCAACCTATAAATTTGATCTATCTATGTCCCTAGAGCTAAAATCCAAGAAGTAAATAATTTTGTCGGCACACCTGACATCTTAAAACATATTGCAGTGACAGTAAGGAAATGAAAGTGGGCAGTGAGGGAGTTAAAATAAACTGGTTTTAGTTTCTTCCCTGCCTGTGTGTCAAAAGTTATTTCAGTCTGCGGGTTCTAGTGGAGCAAAGAAAAAGAAAGCAAAGTGTAATTATTTTAATTTCCTAATATAAAGTAAGGATAGTGCTTGGCATTGAATTGTTATTTTTATAATTTTTATCCTATTCAGATGATAGAGTGTACAAACTTAGAAATCCTGTTTGGTTTTTCTTTTATTTTAGGCTTTTTCAGAGTCCTTTTATAAAGACGCCCAAAGTCTGCAAGATTGTGTGCAGGCTGTTTCAGTGACTTAATGGCTCAAACACAACTTAAAGATAAAAATTAATTATATGGAGATATTTAATCACATTTTTTTTAAAGAGTCCGTATTAATATCAAATCCGCTTTTTTCTAGATATATGAACATAATTTCTCTGTGTTAAGTTCTGTGCTTTCGACCTTGGATAAATGGATCTGTAAGTTAATTATCTTATTTCCTTCTCTGTAAGGATCTTTTGACCTCATAAGGGTATCTTTTGGTGCTTTGAATATAGACACAGAGAAAGAGATTACAGAGAAATTGATGTCTAACACTCAGAATCCTCTTCATGACATCACAGGTAACTGGTTCTGTTGGAAAAATTGATTTTTTTATATATGCTTTCAATCTGTTTATTTTCTGTTTTGTTGAGTTTATTGTCATCAGAATTTTTAGAACATTGTAGAAGTGACAATTTTTAGTGTAGAATATTTTGATGTCCTTAATGCATTGCCACTATGTCATCTGATCAAGGAGTCTCTTTCTGTTACTGTTACTGATGTCTATCCTTTAATTGTTTTGCTGTGACTTCAAGGTTTATAGACATTCTTCTGCCTGACTTGCCGATTCTTACTCTCAGTTAGTCTGCTTAAGTTAGGAAATGCTGCATCTTTTTGTCCATTTTTGTATTTTCTTTGAATTATGTTCGTTTGCTGGTCTTACTTCCTATCATAGCTTGAGATATTCCAGCAGTCCTTAGCTTTAATGCCTTTTTATGTTTCACTAACTTACCTTTTCTCAATGAGACTCCACAAAGGTATATCGATGCTCAGTGTAAAACTCCATCATAAGTCAGTTTTCAAAATGGTGTATGGAGGAGTCCTACCCTAAGCAGTCAATATGTGTACTTTTAAATTACTTTAGTATTATGAGTTTAGCTTTTTGAAATGTTTTGTTACTTTGAGCAAAACGAATTGCTCTTCTTTTGCAAAACTTGCATTGCAATCTTTTTGCAGGTTATGTTAGTGCCCTTGTAAGTGGTGTTCCATTTCCCTCAGATTTAGATGTGACCAAGTATCTCAGCTATGGTCCATATGTGTCATATCTTGGCCATACAGAAATGTCAGGTACTACTTTTAAAAGAATTCAAAGTTTAATTTTTTGCTTTCCTCTGTTATTGTGCTGTTATTGTTAAGGTTGTATTGGAAGTTTTTTTGTGAATGAAATTTGATATCTGGAAAAGTTTTTCTTGTTTGTTAGTTCTGCGTGGTAGTCAGCTGTTAATTGTACCTTTTTTTATCAGGGTTGAGATCATTCATTTGTCTCATAGTTTCTCACGGTTTTTTGGTGTTTTTTTTTTCCAAACCCCCCCAAAAAAGACAAAAATTTCCTATCAAGTATTGTATTGTCTCGACAGATTAAATCATATCGAATGTGATACTCCGTGTCAAAAGATGCTTAGGTTTTGATACCAGCTGCTTGCAGTGTGGAATATCCTTTGTTGTGTCTGTCAAAGAAAAGAAACATTTTATTGTTTGCTTGATGTTCCATGTATTTGACGGTGACTTATTTGTGCCCCTCTGCTATAGTGAGTGTTGTGTTCTTAATGTACTGATGATTGTTAAGGACTGAATTATCATGTGTCTTGATATAAAAGGGGTTTTATTTTATTTTCACGTGTGATATGTAGGTTGCGCAAATCAGCAGTTGCATTATTCTAGTAATGTGAAATATGCCTGTGTATGTGTGTGTGTGTGTGGGGGGGGGGTTCACATGTTTGTGTGTATTTGTGCGTGTGTGCGTGCATGCATGTGTGTGTGTGTGTGCATGAGTGCAATATAGATAATAGGTACGAGTACCCGCCCTGTCTCCTTATGGAGTTGTGCAATGTTCCTGTTGCTTATAATTTGTTTGGTTCTTTCTCCTTAAATAATAAAAAAAAAATTTGTTTGAATTTTGAGTTTGGACTCAGCCCGGGGTTGTTATTTCAACAGCTAGTGGTCTCAACCCCAGCCGTCTCCTAGGCCCCCTTGAAGAGGAATTGGTCTGAAAAGAAGAGAGACTCTTCATTACATGTGGGCACAAGATGCTTTTTTTATGTCGATCAAGTGTGTGGCCTGCCATGTCATGACATATTGATATCACCTGTTCAATGTATTATTGAGTTTCTTCTGACCTAATTTTTGTGAATGTATGCAAAATGAGTCTGATTTCACATGTTGATTAATTAATATGATGTCTTTTTTTCTTTTTTGAACTCCATCATAGTTATAGTACTTCTCTACATTATTATAAAACAGTATATTTTTAGTGTATTGCTTGTGCATTCATTGTGTTTTGAATATTATACATTTGTCTGAAACTTTGTAATATATTGAATATATGAATATTTGGGATATGCGATCACCTTTGTCCCCCTCCCAAGGTCTTAATTTGTGATAATGGTTTTTGGCTTTGGGATGAAAGGGCTGTGTACCTTCTGATGTTTGTAGTTTGCTCCATGAATTGTTTCTTATATGATTTTGCATGTTTTTCTTGCTGTAGTTTTGCACTGATAAGAAGAAATTTGCTTATCCCTTTTTTGAGTGACATGTTCTACTTTGATGTGGATGTAACTGTACTACCTTTAATTTCCCTTTTTTTCCATGTTCTTTTATTTCAGCGGCTATTGAACCTCAAAAGAGTCTGGCATCAGCTGAAGAGAAAAAGACTGGTGGTAAGTTTTTGGCAATTTTGTGGTTTTGTCTGTAATAACTGATACCTTGATATAAGAGAAACGTGGCTTGACTTTTATGGAGCTTAAAGTACTGATCTAGCTGACCTGTTCAAAATCATTTTCTGTATACCATTTCTAATTAAAATGTTAGATATTTAAAAAAAAAAGAATGCATTACATCTGAATTTCATGTTGTTGTACGTTTATGTTTATGTACCTATCATTGAAAGCCAGATCATCCCCATTCTAAATCTTTCATCCACAATTCTCATAATGAGTAGCAGAATTTACTGGGAGTAGGAACTTAAAAACTTTACCAAAATGTATTATTCTTCCCAGTATCTGACGAGCCTAAAGCAATGGACCCATTCTTGAAGAAGGAAGAGGAGGAAAAAGCTGACAATGCAGGTGAGAAAAGTGAAGTCTCTGAGATACCTTTCAATTTTGAAATATCATGGAAATGTGAATAAATTGTTTTACTTCTTTTGTCAATATTTCCCACACCATAAAAAATTTACCTGTACGTGTCAAATTAATCTTGTAATTATGTTTGCACACCTCTTTGTTTGTGCCTGAGGCATTGCACTATCCTTTTTGTAAATGATAAGCCTTTTCTGAATTTTTATAGAGTTCAAAACTTTCTCTCATTGCCTAGCTGGATACAAGTTTGGACTACCACCCGTATGTTTTACCTCAAGAGTTTTTTCTTTTCTATTGTTGTTTTTCTTTGCCCCAACTGCAAAATTGTGTGGTTCCGGTTTAATCCCAGTCTGGATATTTTGTCCCTGTGAAAGACATTTTATTCAAACTCACTTCTCTTCGCTCTGTTAAGAATGGGTACCTTTGTCATGGAAAGTTCTTGACAGTATATATTATTTTGAGTACCTGTAAATGTCTGTTTGCCCTGATGCTTCCCAGGAAGCTCAGAATGTGTAATAATTTTACGGGGTCTTTTGGCGTTATAATAAACTAAATTGCGTGGCTTCAACTTTTGAGTAGCCATATGAACTGTACCTTTATATGCAAGCTATTATTATCGTTATTATTCCCATTTTTGCAATGGGTTCTCCTTTGTAATCTCTAAAGCGTCTAGTAAAGGGATGTTCTGTTCTAGATGCTGAAGTTAATGAACCCTACTTTCAGCTGTGCATAGTTTGTAAGTTCTGTGGTATACTTTGCTCCTTTTTTTTCTATTACAATCTATGTAACTATACCAGTGGTTAGGGAGTACCACAAAAAGAGCATTTTGTACTTTTCGTCTTGTTTCTGCCTATTTTTGATGCCCTGTCCTCATGCTAAATTTCCATTGTCAATAAGATGTGTTTCTCCTCATTCAGAGTAAATTATGGCAATGTTCCTGTTGCTTTAGTCTAATCAACCCTCTCATGGTCCTCCAGGAGTGCAGTGTCATGCTGGAATATTAGCACCCTTAAATATTTCCTTTTTGTGGAGATAGGCTGCCATCTTTTTTGTTGTTCCTGTCTAGCAATGAGCTATGTGTACTTTAAGTATCAAGTAGTAGTTGGGTGTTAAAAGCCTGTAAAAACTGACAAATCTGGTCTTTGTGGTAGCTTTTATCATGCTACCCAGTTATGAACTGCAGTTCCAACAGCAATGCGGGTCCCGATTTCTTTTCAAGCTTGAGGTATTGTTTTGTGTCCCCAGCCCTGGAGGTAGCTATCCACAGACTGTTGACCAACAGCCAGACCCTCACGGAGGAGGCTGTCAAGGCCCAGCAGGATGTAGCCAACTTCACCCGCAGTCACACCAAGCTGTTGAAGCAGGCTATGGATGAAACTTCTGATGTGAGGGCGAGGGGGATAATTACAAATGCATATTGTTGTTGCCCAGTTGTAACCATCTATCTGCCAAATTAGGCTTGTGGGTGGTGGCGGGTGCCCTGATGGTGTTTGCTCCTTCTTTCCTATAAAAAATCTATCATCTCTATTTCCCCTTCTCCTTTTTTGTGTTTGTTACTCTTTTGTAACACCTCTAATCTTCGGCACTTATATGACCTTATTGTATTGCAAGTGCCGTAAAACTCTTACTGGAACTAAATTAGGCATAAAACTTCTTTTGTTTGTATTCATGTTATTTACTTCAGTAATTGCAACTGATGATACTATATTAAGTAAAAATGCTATGGAAACATTATGAGTAATTCTTGAAGATAATAAGAAAGAAATTACATTTTTTCCCCCCAAAAGTAGTGTCTGACCTAATTTAGTGGTTACACGATTAGAGTCACACACAGTATTTATCTGATCCAGGGGTTGCAGACACTGTTTTCTTGAACAAGGAGATAGGGAATTTTTTCCTTCTAGATCAGGGATTAAAATGCTTGCTTTGTCAATGTGGCATGTATTACATACAGACTCTTAACTACTTGATCCAGCTGCTTCAGATATTTAAGGGATCCAGCTGGTACAAATTTCTTCATTGAGGGGTCCCAGACACTGACTTTTTCGAGTTAGGAGTTTCATTACACTCTCTCTTTTTCTTGAGACAACAGACACACACTTGGTACAGGGGTCATAGCACAAAAGGAAGGAGGGTAAAAAGTTTGACACACAGTTAAACTTGCAATTTAAAGTTGTAAATTTAAAACTTTCTTTCGTGTGGCTAAGCTGTATACATAACATATAAGGGAAGTTGGTCGTTCCTTTTCTTCAGTTCATAGTTGAGTATAGAATGCTTGACAGTTAGGTTGTTGAGGGTAAAGTCTGGTCTGTCTTGTTGGAAGCTATCAAAATAATATGAAAGAAATGATGGTTTGGAAACACAAGTAAATTAGATGCTAATTGAATAACTGAATACTAACACAGTAGTCACTGTTCGTAAGAGGTTCACAAGTGTATTTGAAACAAGTTTGTTTGATTTTTGCTGCTTGGACTTTATGCTTTTTGCTGTATTTGTTTCCAGATTCTTAAGAAGGATGATCAGTGGCAAGCAGTAGCAGTGGCCTTTAAGGAAAAAGAAAATGCTGTCCATCGTTCGAATGAGTTAGTTTCTGAGACAAAGTAAGTTGAAACCATTTCCATTTATTTTTGCCTTTTTCCTATTCTCATATTCAAAATGTGCCATAGTCTATTTAGTTCTTGTCCTGCTTTTCTATGTTGTCAATGTTTTGTATCACTCACTTTAAAAAAAAAGTATTTTAACACTATACATTTATGCCACAATTTTACTTTAACAACTGAATAAAATACTCTCCGTCGTGTTGCTGCTACTAAACAGATTTGTTATTTCTAACTAATAATGTTCAAGGTATGCAGAGCGTATTGGAAGAAAAAATCATTTTTTTGGTCAACATTCGATGGCAAAAACAAACCTTATTCAACAACTACTTTAAAATCTAGCTGAAAGAAAAGTATATCTCTATTGTCTAAAATTAAACTCAACGCAAGGTAATTCTAATAACTATCACACATTAATAGCCATGTTTATACAAGTAGTCAAACCAGTTTTTTTTAACAGGTTACTGAATATGGTATCTTAGTTGAGTTCTGCTTTGTGTTCAGGTACAAATTGGACAAGTATTCTGATCCCCAAAATTAGTTTGAATTTTATTGTCTAAATTGTACTTTATTAAGAACCACCTTTTTCTTTATACTGCTGATTTCTCAAAAGTTATGCACCTGATGTATGTCATTTTTTTTTCAAAATCACTTTTTAGGAAAGATTTACCATCAAAGCATGTTTGGTAAGTGTTTTACGAGTTTAAGAGTGAAAGAAAATACTCAATATTTGATTGCCCTGAAAGCTGTGTCTTTGTAGCACTGTCATTGGAGCCAAGTTTGTCGTGTTTTGATCTATGGGCCGGAACAGTAGCATAGCAAGTGATCCAAAGGCAAAAAAATCTCACTTGAAAATGTAACGGGACTTAATTTTTTACTTAATTTTTTTTTTCCAATTTGCAGGAAGAGCATAGAAAAGCTTCAAGACGTTCTTGCCAACAGCAAAAACAACAAAGTAACGAAGAACAATCCAGCTATTTTCCCAGCCACAAAGAAGGTTGTGGAGCTGACCAAGGAACTGGGCACAGCAAACTCTCAGGTGAGGATGTCAGCTTTCTCTTTTTTTTCTCACTTTAAAGCTTTTTTTTCTGTGGTTTTTTTTTTTGTGTGGTGGATACGATTTCAATATGAAGCTGTGGATGGGCGCCACTAGTAGGTCCTACTTCTTTACTTTCCCCTCTGTTGTTTCTGTCTGTCTGTCTTACTTTTTCCCGCCACTAAATGACCATTATTTTATGGATGTGCTGCTCTGTACTCAAACAAACAATCGAAACAAGGCCACAATTATTTGTTAATTTTAGCTTGTTGCATAAATGTATGTGTGCCTAAAGAAAGGTACCAAAAGTCGGATTTTGACCATTTTGAGTTAAGAGTTGTACCTTAAAGGAAATTCAATGATGAATTAGGAGGTCTTTGAATTTGTTTGGTATTACAAGTAGTTATTGAGATACTGCACATTTTTCGATGTAGAGTATAAAAATACAATTTTGAGAAAATTAGCTTTTAAGTTTAACAAACGTGAGAACACATACAAACATTAAAAAGCGGTTTTTAAAATGTATTTATTCTTTGAAAATTCATTTCCAATTTGGCATTTAGCTGGTATCTATATTATGAAAGGAATTTCAATGGTAAAACATAGCAGGGAGAGAAAACGTGCTTCAAGAATAGATTTTAACCCCTTTTAAAAGCAGTTTTCATTATTTGTTTTTATTATACCCTACCCTCAAAATAATTCTAAATATAATATTTAGAAGACAAATTAATGAAAACCCTGTGAGCACCCTGTAAAAAATGGTGGATCTATCATTTTTTTTATGGAAACACATTTTGGTCAAAAAAGTGATTGTTTTCATAATCAGCCTGTAGCTCAAAACAATCTAGAGCGACTTTTGGTACCTTTCTCTAGGCGCACACACAAATTTTTACAGAAATTCTCAGTGGAGGCTAAAATTGTACTGACAGTAAAATTTGTGGAATATTTTTATTATTCTTTTAAAAAGGACAGGTGCTTTGCCTGTAAAATTATGTATCTCTCCAGTTTGGGTTTAAAAAACAAAGAACGTTTTCAGTATGAGATGATCTGTGAAAATAAGAGTAGCTAGTTGGTACAAGTTTGTTTAACATCTCTAATGGCGTTGACCTGTCCTTTTCTAGCTCAGTGGGTGCCATGCTGGACTGGTCCAAGTGTCCGTCAGTGCATCATTTAACTTTTGTGTCTGAATTTTGTCATAGATTTCCACTTGGTGGACTCTGTTTTGTCAGAGATTGTCAGAACGTTGTGTGTCCCAGTTTTAAACCACCTTACAGTGTTGAAAGTGGCTTAGTGCTTATAGTGTCTAGTACAGCACTATTCTTGCTGTATAAAATACAAAATGTTACCATTTCTATACTGGATGACTACTTATTTCCCTGCTCAGTTCCTGACAATATCAGAATACGTTTATCCATCCAAGACCAGGAACTGAGAATGTTCTGTTCAGGTGAATTGAATAGAACTAGTTCCTAAAACGTCGTGCTCGTGTATTGCTGGACCAATAACAATGTCTATAGTCTGACTACGATCATGGCTTACGATCTCATATCCTACCCATACCATACTGTACCATGTTTCAGCATACCTTACTATACCATTACAGTGACAACTTAACCATCTGATATGTTTCATTGTTCAGGTGAGACAAGCAGAGTCTGAGGCTAAGGTGCTGCTGAAGTACAAGGATCTGGTGGAGAAGGGCAGGAAACAGTTCCAAAAGGAGTTGGAGAGTTTGATGCCAGATGTAAAGCTGGGAACCACTAGTGAGTGTTCAATGTTTCTCATTCTTCTGTTGTTGGTTGAACGATTTTCAAGCTTTGTAACTGTTTAACCTAACGAGTGAGTTCCGAACATGGCGTTACTTCAGAAGTTTTGACAACTGGAAATTTTCTGTACTGTAAGTCGTAGGTGGTGTTTGTTTTGAGAAGTCCAAGGACAGAAATTATTTTGGTTCAGATGGTTGATTAGGGGAAATATTTCATTGATAAATACATTAAATTAAATGTAAATTGGTATGGTCTTATATTAGATAATAGAAAAGTGTGCATGCTTTAAAATGGACTTGATTAAAAGTTAACGGCACCGAAATTGAGAAGATGTAAGATTTGTTGATAATATCCAAGGTTGTATTCCGGATTTTGATGGCATAAGACAAATTTTAGTAGAATTAAGTTGTATTGAAACGGTTTGTAACAGAAAACTTTATGTATAATTAATGTATTACTGTACCGCCTTGTAGCAATGGAAAGATTATTGAACAGAACTGTTCAGAGGAATAAATATTATGTCTGGATTGATATTTAAAAGAGTTCTCTCAGATTGGTTGAAAAATGAATTACTTCATTTTTTGTGTGGTTCTTTTCTAAGGCAAAAAATTGACAGAAGAGGAACTGAATTCCCTGATTGCCCATGCGCATAGAAGAATCGAGCAGCTGCAGAGGCAACTGGCGGAACAAATGGCTATGGAGAGACAGAGGCTGTCCACAGCCATGGAGGCCCAGAGGCATGAGGACCACGGGATCACTCTTGCCGCTGTGGCCGACGAGCGGTCGCGTTTGCAGGCCGAGTTTGAATCAGAGAAACAGAAACTGGTACTGGTTTCCTAAGGCTTTTATCTTTGTTTTGTTTTGTTTTTTGTTTTGCATTTTTTTTTGGTAGGGTGTTTTTATGAGGGGGGGAGTGGTAGGGGGGGGGGAGGCGGCCAGTACTTGTAGTTGGAAGCTTTGTTTGCGATTTGTATGTCCTGAGACCAGGGTTTGATTTAATGGGACTTGCAAGAAGATGGCACTTCTCATCTCAGACAGACTCGAAGCATATGGAAGTCTAGTTTGCAAGAAAATGTTCAAGAAAATTATTCTTGTTTGAAAACATTTCACCTAGGTCTATACTAGTGGTATTCAGGAAGTACTTCCAGAGTTGGCTGTTATTCATGCTGTGTTCTCCATTTTACAGGAAATGGAATTTCTAGTTCGTCAGGAGGGTGAGGTGCGTAAGCAACTGTCTCGGCAAGCTGCAGCACACAGCGATCACATCAAGGATGTCCTGGCTGTGCAGAGAGAGCAGCTCAACCTCGATTTCAACAGAGAACTCAATGCTAAGATTCTTGAGGAGAGAGAAAAGTTCCAGACAGAAGTGGCTGGCTGGATTTCAAGACTGAAGGGCATTGAGGCTGCCGTTGATGGTCAGTGATGTACATGCATGTTTGCAAGTGTCCCTGTGTGATTGTAAGAGCAGAAAATATAGACTTTTACTATCAAGAAGTTTTAGAATTATTTAATTTTGCATGTCCCAGCTATTGATAAGCTTGCACTGAAAGCTAGTATGTCTTCATGACAATTCCTGTTGCTGGCAAGTGGATTCCAGTTTACCATCTTTGTCTCCCAAGAAAATAAAAAGGTCGTCCATTTTTTTACAGGAGAAATCCTTGACCCTTGTGTGTTTGGAAAATTGCTTTCAGTGACGAGCATGCTTTCTGTATACTGTTTATGAAGAATGTTGAAGAAAGCAAAGAAATGTTTGTGATCAATGCTGAAATGAGAAATGATTCAGGTATTAGGAAAGAATATTCAATTGTTTCTGTTTAGCTTGATCAAGTCTTTTGTTGTTGCTATACTCACTGCTGTCTTTCTTGATGTAGTGTAGTAAAAGGGCACATGGCAATGGCAATTGAATATCTTGATAACGACTTTGAATAATATTGCGATTTTGATAGAGTAGGTAGAACATTAGTCTTAGAAACTCAAAACGGCCAAAAATATCAGATAAAACTTTGTAATTCTAAGGTAGCGATTTTTAAACCTTTTTTAAAAACTTAACGTCTGTCCTTTCTCCTGAATGTTTCATCCCATGCCCCTAGCCGCTAAATGGTATTGCCTAGCAGTGCTAAAAAATGTTCTTAAAACTCTTCTCTTACTTCAGTGTGAGTGATGCCATGATTTCTTTTTTCCACAGCTCGAGCAGCTAGTGAGAAATTGGCGAGGTGTGCTCAAGACTTGTGGCTTGCGTGCATTGCCCTGAACTCCCTAATACACTTTGGGAATGAGGATGGTTCTGAAGCCCTGATTCCTATTAGAAAAGAAGTGGAAGCTGTTCTCAATGTTGGCAACAAGGTTTGTTTAGAGTACACTGTACAAATGTTTATACGTGCATATGTCTGCGCTGGGTGGCTGGCGGTTGCCCTGGTGTGGTTTGCTCCATCTTTCCTCTCAAACAATTATTATCTTTATCTCTTCTCCTTTTTTAAAATGTTTGTTACTCCCTTTTAACACCTCTAATCTTCGGCACTCATATGACCTAATTGTGTTGCAAGTGTTGTAAAACGCTTACTAAAACAAGATCAAACCAAAAAACAGATGTCTGTAAATACACACAGTTTTAAAGTAGGTTCAGTGGCCTCCACTTCAGGTTCTGTTGCTTATGGTCCCTGTCTGCATTTAGCACCATTAGCACCGTTCTGTTTTTGTTTCTTTAGCATCAGGATATATGCAAAAAGAAAAGGAATATTTATGAGTTACAGACTACTGGAATCTTGAGATGTCGGAGTCTAGTGTAAACTAATGTGTTTGCTCTATAAAATGCTGTGTTACATTCTCATGATGTTTCTGTTCCAGATTTTGTTTGTAATAGGTCTAAGATTATATTGATTTATGTTTCCTTCTTTAGTTTACAATAGTCAGGCTTTTTTTTTTAGTCTTTTCCCTGGTCATAGCCTCTTGGGACCTCAGACACTTCTGAGCCGCCAGACATTTTTCATAAAAGGCTATTAAATATTAATGGTTCAGTTTGGGTTTAATTCTAAAATTTAATATTTTAAATGAGATCAAATGGAGTGACGAGAGAATCTCGAAAACATACCAAACAATCAAAGTTCATTTAGTTGGCAGCTCAAATTGGGATTTGCTGCACTGTTGTACATTATGAAACTAGCTGAGTTGTCTGTGTGTCTCAAACTCTGATTGTCAGAAAGATTTCACAGTAAATTTTAAACAGAAAATATCCTAAAACATGTGTATTAATCTTTTGGTTTTAAATTTAAAGATAGTTCACTGAATAATTCATTTGTGTAGCGTCACGGTGATATTAGGGGCTCGCCAAAATAATGAAATCAAACAAAGCAACATTCTGCTCGTAAAATAATTTAAATTAGATTTTTTTTCTTCTGTTTTTGGGCTCAACACCTAATATGTCCATTTAAAGCAGACCTGCCACTCATCCCGATTTAATCGGGATATCCCGATTTTTTGCCCCAAATCTCAAGCATCCCGATTTTCCCGATTTCGATCGCCAGTATCCTGATTTTTTGTCGTTGCATCTGTTGCGCCCGATTCTAGGTAAAAAAATATAAAAAGTTCTGCAGTCTCTTTTGCTTGGAAGCACCGATTGGATTTTTTATCCTGAGGAACTTGAAATGCTACTTTCTAAAGCATCTATGCCAAATCTAGTAGATGACTCACGCATGTTATTTCAACTAAAATTGACGTAGTATCGATTTTGAATTCCGATGGATACGCTCAAGATCTACTTTCGCTTTTATAACCCAGAATTCTCCGATGGTGTCCTGATTACTGTAACAATTATGGCATGGGCGGGCCTAAGAATAATCTATTCGTTGTTCTGCCGTTACCCTAAAAGCGAGCTTCGTCTGAGTTCTGGTTAGTCGGGCCCATCAGACCTGTTAGTGGAACTTTCAAACGCTCATTCGCAACTCGTGACATCACCTTGTACGTGTGAGTAGCGCGTTTGTCGTGGACTGTCGGCTGTCGGGGTCAACAAAGTTCATTCACACCAGTCGCATTGGTCTGTGTTTTTCGGGATTTAACCAGTGTGGATGGGGGGAGGGGGTCGGGGTATTGTTTTGACACTTGGGCTCAAAGTGCATGCCGTGATACAATGTACATGTAGAATCTACTAATTGAGGGTAAAGGAATAATAAAAAAGAAATAAATGAACAGCCTTGGCGCGATCTTTTTTTCGGGGGGAGGGGGGGGTGCCTTGAGTGTATATGCGATGGAAGTCAAACGTTGTTATTGTATGAAAACGCGGGCTTTTAGAGGCATGATTAGAGTTATGTGTCAGCTATTTTCAAGACGACGAGAGTTTCAGCTTTACTACAACCTGCGCTCCCCCAGTCTATCCAACTCCGACTCGAGTTATGCTGTCTTTCAGTTTTCCCTCTATTTAGAGGCCCAAACGTGAACTTCTTCCTGCACAAGTTTTCTCTTGCATATTTGCCTCATAAAAGGGAACGAGGACCCCTCCCCCCTTCCCCAGTATCCTTTATGACTGATTTGCCGTTGATCCCGATTTTTTTCACCAGATACCGATTTTTTTACTCTTAAATCCTGATTTTTAGATTTCATAGAGTGGCAGGTCTGATTTAAAGACGCATTCCTTTGGGGATTTTACTGAAAAGATATTGAGGAAAGACATGAAAATTATACATTTGCAGTTTGCAAGGAAGTAACCAAACTTTGATGGCTATTTTCTAAGTAATTTTACCTCTAACACCAACAGGCAACCCCCACCTTCTTCAATTGCAAATGTCTCGACATATGTATTCAAGATAGATAAGCCTTTTTTTCAACGAAAGACGAACGCGCTCATATGACCTTAGCGGTTGCGAGCGCCGTAAAACCTTATACTATACATACAGAAAGACGAACAAATCAACAGGCATTAAGATTATATCAATATGTCTAAACATGCCCTACAATTAAAATTGACGATTGCTTGATTCCACCATGCCGTGACACCTTTTTTTTTTTGTCAACAGCATCCTTTTGTTGAGACTGTTGCCAATGCCATGCCAGAGGCTGCTCTTGAGCGTGGCGTGTACACAGAAGAACAGCTTCGCAAGCGCTTCGTCAAAGTGTCTAGTGTGTGCCGGCGACTGGGACTCATCAATGAGTCAAACACATCCCTTTACAAGTACCTGATATCGTTCTTGCACTCATTTGTTGTGTTTGACAACATCACAGTCTTGACACCTACAGACCCGGTGGACCTGAACTCTATAGACAATTATGGGCTGGTGGCCCACGCCCAGCACTGGATGGAGCGCGGAGATTTGGAGATGGCGCTGAAGTTTATGAACCAGCTGACTGGCGAGGCACGTCGTGCCGCGTCGGACTGGATCAGGGAAGCCAGCCTGCTGTTGGAGACTCGGCAAGCAGCCAGCACTCTGACAGCTTATGCCTCCGCCACTGGCTTGGCCAACACCTTCTAGCAAGAACCTTTCCATTGATAGAATTGTGTATAGTTCCATAAGACGCCTGTTTTGTGTATAGGTCTCAGAATGATATAGCGTGGTGAAAGTTGCACGAATGTAACGTGGTACTGTGTTTACTTGGTCTATTTGCAACACTGATATATGGCTTTGTGCAAGACTCTCAAACCAAATACCGACAAATTTGTCAGAGATAATGGATTCCAGTTTTGTTGAGTTTTCGGCCTACTTTTTGTGCAGTTGAAAAATAAGACGGAGTCCACTTTTTTTTCGTGGCCGTTTTGACCTCAGGTAGGTAGCCAATTTATCGATAAATGTTTTTCCCTTTTCTCTTGAGCTGTTTTATCTTGCACAAAGTCATCAGTCATTAGTAGTGTGATATATAATCTGTGAGCAGATCCACCCTTTGTTTAGTGTGTGACACAGAAGGCTGTGGATGATTTCAGATGTCACATTTTCTCTAAATATTTTCAGGTGTTTTTGACAAGTCTATGGAGATTATGAACATGTTTTGTATAAGTTTTAATTCTCTCCCATTTTGAAATTAAACTATCTAAGTTTATCATATAAGAAACTATTGTATATGAAATTTTAGCACTGGCTGGAATATTCCAATAAATGGCTTTGTAGTTGGATACAAGCATATGTGTTAACCAGTGGGTTGTGATCTTGGACTGGTGTTATTGCCCACAAGTGGCGAGTCAGTTTCATGTACAACTGCAACGCTGAACTGCATTTCATGATGCTTGAAAGTAAAATGCTTGTAAAATATGTAGTCGGGAAGTGGTATATGAGGGTGAAGAATTACATCAGTTAGTTTTGTATATGCATGAAGAAAAATTGAATGTGGAACAAATGGATTTGTACACACCTGTTAAGGTTAAGTTTTACTTTACTTATTGGTCCATCCTTTTGTGGTTTTGAGAACTGAGCGGAAGAGACAAGTGCCTCCATTGTTGCCATGACTGTTTTCGTACTTGACTATTGTTTTATTTAAACTCGAGTTTGCTTTTGAATTTCAACTCTTTCGTGAGTGTCTGCTGGGTTCTCTGGTCTTTGGATGTAGGTGTTTTCTTTTGGCATAACATCTCAGTTGGCTTGACTGTCTTTCAGTTCTGTAATGATAAGTTACAGTGTTTTAATTGTAGAAATATCATAATCAAGAAGTGAAAATTAGTTATTTTAAATTGTACTGGAATGCACCTTTCTATGGACAGGAAAATCAATTCTTCAAGGAAACAAATGCAACCTTTTGATTGAAGAGATGTATATCTATTTATCACAATCTGTTTGCACATGTATTTAGTTATAAATGCATTCTTCTCTTCTGTGCAATTTTGCAAATGGAAAATACACCAATCTCTACTTCGTATGGAACTGCCAAGTTCTTACACTCTGGCTGCTAAATACTTTTGTTGACTGGATCTCATTCGACACAATGAACTATTAAACTCTTGAACTGCCCAACAAAGTGTTTGCACTTCTTTGATACTTTCTATTCTGTATTTGCACAACAGCAGTAAGTATGACATATCTCTCTCTTGGTATTTTTGTTTTCCTTATGTTTAGGCCAGACTACATCTTTTCCAAATGAAACTTGACATTTACTCGAAGAGCCGATTTTGTTTCTTTTATTCTATTCCTTGTTATTTTGCTTGCACTTTCTGTACTGTATGGTCTTTGTGTTATTTTCCCTTCTCAGTGAGCTTAGCTTGAGTAATGAAGTAAACTTGTGGGAATTTTTTGTGGTCACTCAAACTCATGAAAACAGTTATGATATCCGGGAGAAAACATTTCATATTTTTCTCTACTGAAGTCCGTCATCTGTGTAGGCCAGTTGAGGCTTTCCAAGACAGTGATGTCCTTTGTGTTTAAACTTTAACTATTGCAAATGTTGTTGAGACACCTTTAGGTGATGTGGTCATCTTGAATATAATTTTCGATTGGAAACAAAAGGATCTCGCACCACATTCTCTAGATGGTATTCAGCCCGTCCCACCTTATATAAGCAGAATCGTGAATGAACTATTTAAAGTGAAGAAAAGCAGCACCCAGTGTTATTTTGCCTTCATCCAATGAAGCTTACTTTTAGGTCTAGGTTTAATACCAGTCTCTACAGTCAAATAAATTCAGACCTTCTGCCCTGATATAGGAACTGAGGGTGTATTTGCATCCAGTCTTCTCTTATACTTGTTGATTCCTGATTTTAAAAGTTCTAAGGATCATAGTTTACACAAATGTTACCTTAGAGTTGTGTGAGTTATTTTTGTTTCATCTGCCACAGGAACTCTAAGAAAGTAATGAATACTTTGTTTCTTCTGGTAACTAATATGTATCGTCTTTTCCAGCCAAATTGACTTTTTACATTTGGCCGTCGGTCCCCTTTGCACTTCTTCTTGTTTGCTGATTCTCTCTTCTTTTTGCCATCCGTCCCGCTATGGCTGGTATTTATGTTACTGTATTTGTGAGTCTCTTTGTTTCTGCACAGAGTTCCAAGTGTTTTAACCAAAGAATTGTCTCACCAGAGTGGAGAGGTAGATTTATCATATGACTAGTCCATTCCTGTACTAGATACCCGTGAATGCTCTTTGGGTTTCATCATTCATATGCGATTAGGTACTTCACCTGGATTTGAATAAATTATATAAGTCTGCTGTTTTGTTTTGTAGTTTTCATATGCATGCTTTAAATTTAACAATTCGGCTCCCCTTCTTCCTGGAAAAAATGCTACCCCACAAAATGACAGGTCATGATAATAATGTGCCTGAAGGTCTGTGCTCCGATGTACATGCACATAGATTTTGCTTTAGTCTAATGCCTCTCCTTTCTTTTCTTCCTCCAATAAACTAAGTGCTTTATACCCAGTAAACAATGACAATCAAATTCAGTCGAATTCCATCCAGCTGAGGGTTGGGGCGCACCACTAGTAGATCCTACTTCTTTTCTTTCCCTCTGTCGTTTCTGTTTGTCTTTCTTGCTTTTCCCCCAGTACTAAATATGTGTGTGCCTGAGGATATGTCCCAGGTGTCGGAAATTTAGGATGTTAAAATAAGGGCACATTACTGTAGCAAATTTTATGCTCAACACGCTGATTTTTTAAAATTTTCAAATATCTTGAGAGTAATTTTAAAGATATGCCACATTTTGTAACATGGTATTAAAACAAAGTGTGGAGAAAAACCCAATTTCTAACACATTTTTATCCTTTGGTGAAGTACAACTTGTTGTGAAAATAACTAATAAAAAAAATATTTTAACTTTAAAATATTATAAAAATCCTTTCAACATGTTATTAAGAAATGGTTAAAAGTGTTTTCTGAGGGAACTAAATTTTTGATAGAGTACGACTTTTTGGCCTTTCCATCCCCTTGCTAAAAAATAGCTTCGCTGACGACTGGGACCTTTTCCCAGGCACACTCACAAATGTGCTGTAATTGTGTTGATGCGCTTCTCTTTACTCAAACAAACAGAATACCAACAAGATTTTCCGTCTTGGAGGGGCAAAAGCTACTATTTAGATGCAATACATCCAATTCATCTATCGACTTGGAAACAAAGGTGTTGAATTTAGTTTAGTCAAATTGGGTCAACTGTGCAAATAGCAGTAGCTTTTGTCCCATCCATGAAGGAAAATCTGGCTGGCTCCGACTCAGTCAAATAAATAAGGAAGGCCATAGTGAAATTATTATTTATAAAAACAATTATGTTCAGTGCTTTAGGTCAGGGATATGAAGCTAGAGAGTCATTTTGAAGCGGGTTATAACGCCGATTTTCAATTAATAAAGGGATGAAAACTTTAGGGTGTTTTTCCTGATTCGCTCCCCTTAACGCAAAAGTCTTATTCTAAATATTTATACCTGTTCCTTTTTTAGAGACAATTTGTAGTGGAATCAGCCGAAACCGAGTTATAGCAGACCTGCCCAGATATGGTTTGGAAATTATTCCTACCGAGGCCAGAGCTGAAAAAAAGTAGTCCTTATTAAAATTGGTCGCTTTTAAGCACAAGGGGGCCATCCCGAAAAATGCTGTTTTGAGAAAATCGAAGATAAAGTTTTTGGACCCTTGTTCAGACAAGGAGTTTTTTTTTAACCAAACAAAACACACCAATGAAACCAAACTTCTCCTTTTGGTAGGGCAATGCCCACTTTTGGTGTAGGTCAAGATTTCTGGAAACCTCCGAAATCTGGGTTAGCCCGCTTGTCCTTAAATTAAAGCAACCAATATTGATAACTTTCGAAAAACAGCACATGTCTGTTTCGAATGAAAGGAGAGGGACACTTCTCTCAAGAAGAAGGAAAAATAGGCTGGATCCTGTCTACTTTAGTTTTCCTCTTTTTGTTGGCTGCAGAACACTTTAACTTAACTATAACCGTTACTTACAATGTTCTTTGAATCAAAAGACTCGGCACAATAATACATAACATTGCCTGTCAGGACCAACCAAGGCTGTGTAGGATACATGTACTGCATCCTAGCTAAACGACAGGGACAATTGACGTGTGGAGCAACCCCCCCCCCCACACACACACTTGGCGGATGATGGTTGGAGGACGATACTGTGAGGTAGCAGTAGAATGTCTATCTTGCCTTCTTTCTCTCTGTCTGTCTTACCGTATATGTGGATGGAAGGCGGGTGTTCTTATGTAGTTAGTTCCTTCTTTCACTCCTATCGTCCTTACATCTCCTCCTTCCTTTCTTTCAATTTTACTCTTAGTAATACCTCTAATCTTCGGCACTTATGTGATATATATATATATATATATATATATATATATATATATATATATATATATATATATATGTGTGTGTGTTGCAAGAGCTATACAATTCTTACAAAAGCAAAACTTACCTTCTGCAGGCGCATCGTTTGCTCAGTTGGATTCACTCTGTACTACAGAGCTGATGACCCTGGTTCGATGTTCAAACTGGGCGCTCTGACTCTGAACTGGGTTGTTTGGAGACAAAAGACTCTCCACCCGTTTGGCTTGATCCTATTGAAAACTGACGCCTCTTAAATAACCCCACAGCATTGAAAGGGGCTTTAAACATATACAGTGACCAAGTACTTTCTGTTTAACTTCGCAGACATAATATATATATTTTTTTACTATACCATGCGAATGTTTGGAGGGCGCCACTGGTATGTCCTACATCTTTACTTTCACTTTGTTGTTTCTGTCTGCCTGTCTTAAATGAGCATTATTGTGTCTATGCTTCTTGTTACTCAAATAAACAAGACATACACATACACATCTAAACCCCAACGTTATACAAAATGTAAGGCAAGAAGAGAAACATATCTTTATGATGTATTTGATACTTTTATTTCAAATTCATTGTTTGACAAAGTGGTTGGGCATGGGCATGGTATTGAATACTGGAAAGTTTTGGTGGGTGTCGTTCTCCACGTTGATGCTCATAAGCAACACACTCCCCGATATGGTGGAGCATGTACGCCACTTATATTATCGTGTATGCTTACAATGTACATGACACTGATAATGATATGAAGGAAAGAAAACTTTGAAAATAATGCTTAATATGGTGGAGTGGAGGCAACAAAAAGTATACATGTAACACAGGTTAAGTTCAATGGCAGAGGTGAAAAGGATGTTATTTAGTGGAAATGTGTGTTGTCAGCAGTTTAAAAGCTGATACTATTTTCACACATTTTGTATGGACGTACTAATAAACTGTGAAATATCTACGTATCTTATCTAAGAACCGCCCCACCCCCTCAACAAGCTAGTTTTTTTTTGGTCCTTAAATATCTTAACAAATTCATATATTCCTTGATCATATTACGCACATTTTCCATGAACCGTAGTGCTCATGTGGGAGACTATCTTGGTAACAGTTCATAGCTAGATCCTCTATGTGCTTTTTATCGTACTGCCGAAGCTTGTGAATGCAGAGTGTCACTGTCCTCTTCCACCCACGGACAATCCAATGTCGTCCGTGACAGAACACAAACAGTGTGAACACCACCCCCCCCCCCCCCCCCCAAAACAAAACAACAGCAACAAAGACACACAAAAAACCTGTAAAAAGAGCAGTACGGACTTGCTATTGTGTTCAGTGTTACCCACCCCCCCCCCCCAAAAAAAAAAAAAAAAAGAAAAAAGATTTACAAAAGCAGATATTCAGTGGCTTGGCTAAAAGAAATCTCAAGGTGACAATCCATATGTGCGGGACGGCAGCGGCAGCGGCAGCGGCACGGCAGCGGGACGATAAAAATCGCTCCAACAGAAATTATCAATGTCTGAATCCATAAATGCGGGACGGCAGCGGTACAGCAGCAGTACGCAGCGGTACGGCAGCGGGACGATAAAAATCGCACCCAGGAGCGATTCTGTCGCTGCCGCAGCTCTGCCGCAGACAAAATTATGAATGTGGCGGAATAGGGTTGATTGTGAACTGTGAAGAATCTCTGTTGCAGTCAATTCATTTGACACGGAAAACTTGCTGAAACTATTGCACCCCTATGTCGTCGTTCATCCACCCATTTTCTTGATATGCCCAAATGGTGCTTTCTGGGAATGGCAAAGGAATGGATGGACCTGTTCGTTATGCTAGTGACAAAAGATCAAGATAATTGCAACTTTACAATACTGGCAAAGTTACCCGTCGGCCGTGGCAAATTTACTCGACAATTGGTAACCTTAGTAAAATGTATTTATTTAATTAAATTGATTGAAATAACAATTAAATACCTCTACATAGAGATAATAAAGCAGTTAAATTAATGGAATCAATGCAAGAACGTAGAAAATATGGATGATAATTAGTCAATAAGAATTAAATGCAAAGATGTGTAGGCTCTATGAAGAAGATTCATAGAAAGGGGTGCGAATCATAGAGCTGACGGCGAAGAGACGCGTATGACATCACGATAGCCAACATGCCTTCCCCTATTGAATTTGTCACTTGCGATCTCGCACATTTCGTACCGCTGCCGTTCCGCTGCCGCACATATAGGTTTAATAGGACTTGCGGTACCGCACATATTAGCAACTTGCAGCTTTTTCTGGAGATTTAGTTTTGGTTTTCACTAGATCTAGTCAAATCTGAAATGTATTGACATTAAAAATTGCGAACACAGCCAACAGTACATGTAGTGCTTGAAACACTTAGTTTAGTACAGAAGACAATTTTTGGATAAGAAGGCCATCCCTCTTTTTTCCCTCAGCTGTTTCTATACGTCAATATACCCCAGCTACCTCTTCCAAAATAAGAAAAGAAATACAGGTAAATCGGTAGCCTATTCAGTACCAATAATCAAAACCTCATTTCAAAATGATGAACAGCACTAAAGAACAGACGTACAGCTGATAGGATAAAATTTAAAAGGAAAAAAAAAATCATTGATGTTTATTTATATCGAAGTTATAATGAGTGAATACATTTTACAATATCGTATTATTATAAAATCACATGTGTATAAGTTATTTGGTCCAGGTTGGAGGAGTGGAAGCAGAAGTAACAAGATTTAAGCCGCTGACCGTTTAGGGCTCGATGAGAACATACCCAGATATTATGAAAAGTGACAGACTGGCCCCATGTTTCACGCAGTTGAGGTTGTTGGATTAGGCCGCGTGTCCACCAAAGCAGAAATGGACCGAATTTTGTCCGGAGGAGACTGGTCGTCTAGGTGGACACACTGAAACGGAATTATTACTGATTGCTACGGCAAAACCGGTGCTTTAAATGTCTCTCTGAAAATCGGTTGTGGATATGATTTTTCTTTGGTTTGTTTGGTTATTTTAACCGCAAAGTGGAAACACCCATTTCAGCTACCGATTTTCTGAGAGACGGACCATTTATGGTCGGTTGGTTTCTGGATTGGTGAACACGCGGACTTAGAGTTTCGGTGACTCGGTTGGATAATGGTCTCATTTCACCAATCACACGTAGCCCATGTAGTTAATATGCTCAATGAAACATGGAATGAAATGGATGGGACGTCGCTGCTAACTACATAAGAGTTTTTATTTTCCTTTGAAACGGTTTGTTCTAAAATACCAGGATATGGGTAGAATTGATGGCTATGTACAGCATGCGTGTATGTGTGTGTGTGTGTGTGTTTGTGTGTGTGTGTGTGTGTGTGTGTGTGTGTGTGTGTGAGAGAGAGAGAGCGCGCATGTGTGTGTGTGTGTGATGGGGGTGGTGGCACTATCAGTTACACCAATGTTGTGGTACACAAAGAGTTAAGCAAAAGCTTATTTTGCTCCCAACCAGATGTATACATGATTACATTGTACAGAAAACGACGCGTCTGTTTTCTGTTCATAAGCATCTTGATGAAGAGCACACTGCATCCGGTGGAGCACTAGTAAATGCAAAGTGATTAAGTGAAGAGATTCCAAGTCTCCTTGTACTTGTTTAATGATTAGCCCTCCCTCCCCTCCCCCTTTTGCACTCCTAGGACGTGGGGTGATCGATTCGCGTGTGGGGGAAGCTGTTTTATCCAGTGCCCCCTTCTTTCCGAGAGATGTGGCCCACTTCGTCCAAGTTATCTATGACGATCAGGATCAAATCTGTCCATCTCCCAAATGGTGTATAGTGTATAGACAATATTTTCAAATATTTACAATTACAACGAAAAAAAGGGAAGAATCAATATGAACACTGAAAAACACAGCGCAAACACGACTTGCTTGTGTAGCGTCGGGGGGCATACAATTCTGTCATCATTATACCCCCCCCCACATTTCATTTATAACAATGTATCTACATATACATGTACACCTGTAATCAATCAACTTTCTGTAATAATGGACTCTTTCCGTTCAGACACAAAATAACAGTGCAGCAAGAAATGTAACGATTAACAAATAAATGTTCGATGAATAAAAATCCTTAATAATAATGAAAAGACTAGATCACACAAATCGCTTTATACTATTTTTAAAAAACAACAGATAATGATTATGTCATGAATTATGGAATCCAAGTAAGGGTATTATGTACATTTGATCTTGGAGCGAGTTTTGTTTTTCGACCATAGTTTATAGGTTATTTGTTACATTGTGATTTTGTTTGAAAAGAAAAGTTCAAGCATGTGTTTATATAATATTATTTATTCCGCTTTCTACTTGTAGTGCCCTTTTCCGTTAATTTCCCGTAGAGTAGTTGTGTGATATCTTCCTAGTGACATATATGTATCTTAGCGAGCTAAAGAAAGATTGAAGGACCTGTTACACGTTAATTTATTGTTTTTTTTCTCCTGTGGTTTTGCTTCCTGCTCATGTTAAAAATTGCTGATGACATTTTCTGTATAGGCACTTTCGAGATTTGTAGAAAAGCATTTTTTAAATTAAAAACTTTGAACTACACATTGTTCTATGCTCATTTGAGTGCAATGTTCACACATCAGTTTTCTTAAATATAGTTTCTAGGGATGATCAGCTAAGTGACGTCTTTGCAAACAACAGTATTCTTAGTCCTTTTGAACATGTATCGTGTATCATGTGATTCAGTGGAGAGAGGAGAAGAGACAAGCTCTGAGAAATATTTGAAAAAGGAATATTTATAATCAGAGGAAGATCAAAGCTAACACTACACAGAGGTCACATGGCATACAAAAATATCGTCAAGTGTTATAATTATAAGTTAATGAAGATGTACACATGAGCATATTGAATTAAACGTATAGTTTTCTGTCTTTCAGGCTCGTCCCAAACACCCCAAAGGCATACACTTATGGAGCATGAAGAGAACATAGATATGGAGATGACTGATTCATTCTGCATCATTTCATTCGTGAGACAGATTCGCTGGACTTCTTGGTAATATATGTATGATAGGTTGTAGGATCAATAAATAACACCAGTTTTGTAAAACTGAGTGACATACGGACTTCAAAGGAAACATGACATGTAAGAAAACTCAAAAAGTCGTCGAAGATGTCTTGATCACAGAATGGAAGGAAAAAAACACCCTACGAAGACCCCCACACCTTCCCCCACCCCAAACCAAGGAGAGAAATAAGAATGTCAATTTGCTTGGTTTTGCACCTAGCTCTGTATTAAATACAATAATATGATCAATCAATTAACTTGGCGTAAATAATGTAGATCTAGTCCCTCATCCACATAAAAGTCTGAGCCGCCAGGTTGATTTCGAGCGCGAACATAATCGAAGTCATAAACTTAACCCACCCCCCCCCCCCTCCTAGAAAAAAACAACAACTAGCGAAACTTTATTTTACAAGAGATCTCCCACTAGCCTTCAAGTACTGATATTTTTGTGTTTACTCATCTTGTTTTAACAGCAATAGGGTACTCTGTGGTGACGATTTAACGTTTTGCAGAGATAAAAAAAATCAACGTGTCAGATCTTTGAAGACACTTGAAACATACGTCCCCACGTGGTAGAATCAGACGCTTGTCAATTTTTGAGGATTATTATGGAGTTATTGCTATATTCTTAAAGTTGGCTCATTTATTTTACTTTCGATGAAAAAAATACCTTTCTTGAATAGCAGACTAGATATTTGCGATTGAAAGAGGTGGGGGTTTGCCTGGCGTCAGAGACAGAGTTTCCCGGAAACTGCAAATTTACAGCTTTCATGCCGTTGATTAACGTTTTCGATAAAAGTACACAGAAAAGTGTTTTAAAAGGACGTTAGAGAAATTGAGCAAAACGAAACAACCCCAAAAAAAAAAAGAAAAAAAAAAGATGAGAAAACCCAACGAGCGAATAGAATACTGGTTTTTATCTGGATTTCACTATTTGACGAGCGCCTGATTTCACCACGACGTCACACATACTATTAGATTGAATAATAGCTCTCTTCATCCATCAAAATGATTCCATTTTGCTCAGGGAACTAGATCTATAACTTGGTTTTCATTTTGAAACGAAGCAAACAATAAGTGCATTGCTATTGCCAAATTAAGTGTAACAATCAAAAGGATGAAATGTAAGCAGTGTTCACTTCAATATTAGTCCCACTAGAGTAAATAAATCCACGCTTGAAGGCGTCTTTGTCCGTCATTAGAATGACAGTGATGTTCTTTCTCCGTAGAGATATTTACCGTGCTCAACTTCTCTAGTCCGCAGGCATTCACTCGTCAACGTTTAGCCTTATGAATTCGTTTTTGGGTTCATGTTCAGGCTTTTGTTGCGACATTCTTGTATGTTGCTATTGATCAAATTCCCCAAAACGAAAGGGATATTAATGATAAAGGGAATCGTAAAGAGAGTGAATGAGAGGCTTCGCCCGCGAGATAGAGATAGAGAGAGAG